AATTCCATTTATGTTCTTTCCACCACAATAGCATTTTTTGTGACATATATTTATCTTTATTGCAATAATTAGGGGGAAATGCCAGTTCGATAAATACCCAACTGACATATTTCATGTAGATGCATTGGGAGTATTTTATTCAATAAGGTATGTATTGTATTTACTTTAATGTTACACCTTTGATAGGATTTGATTTTGTAAGAACATGAACTTCCTGAAGTGGCAACTGGCTTTTGGAATCTTATATGTTCTTTCTTCAGTTAAATATTAAATGCATCAGTATATTGTCAACTGATTTTCCAAGTAATCATCCGAACTTAAATGAGCATTATTATTGTTCTTAGGCGAAAGGTAATGTGACCAGCAATCATTAGACTTATTGCAGGTATTTTGGCTTTTGGTATCTTAATGTGTGAAACATTATAATGCCACTATCACTATTATATTTCAGATGAGTGTAACTTTGGCTAATTCAAAGTTGTGAATGGTCCTTGTATTTGTCACATAGTTACCTGGCTAAAGAACAAAATGCTTATGTATTAAAAAAACTATGAAAAGCTAGTTTTAACAAAGATCTGAAGGCTTTTGCACTTGATATTCTTCAATTACTCCAGTATTTTACTGGAGCTCCAATTTATTAAATGTAGTAGCCCTGAATCTTGTTCCCCTCTCTTGAACATTTCTCAGTCACATTTCAACCTTCAGACTAGCCTTCACCTTCTAAAAAACAGGGAAATGTTCATTTTGGAGAACTATTGTTCCATCTACTGATTTCTTTATCTAATCAAAATCTCTTCTCATCTGATTTGTTGACTGACATTAACATTAACTCTGACTGATGTATTTGAAAACAGCTGGCTCATGTATTTTCTTAATTAAATCACACTATTTGCAGACTTTGGTTGATGTACTTCTCCATTCTACAAATGTGTTATTTTTCCCCTTCATTTTCCATCGGTATTTGTCAATCTACAGATGCAGATGTTTTGATATTTGCCCCTCTTTCAGTTTACATCATATGTAAGTGTAATACAGTAGTGTTGTTAACTGCTTAAGCAGTTTGAGCCACTATTCCTATCAATTTTTAAAACATCATTTTTGTATCCATAATTGCTGATCCATATGCTAGGTACCTTACCTTCATAGACATAATTATCATGATATATTTGCAGGACTGCTAGCAAGCAATTCAGAGTTGCAGTTTAATGTTAGTGGCATTTCAGGGAGAAATTTTTACTTGTCACTAAATTTCCACTTGAACACCTAAACCACAGTTTCCTATAGCCCAAGACAGAGCATACTCTGTCCATATGATTGAACTTACACTTACTTTTATATTAGATCATTAAATAGTTTGCATATCATGTCATTGGTGAAGCAGAGCCGCGTTTCCCCTCTGTAATTTTCTGGTGAATTTGGCTTCTGTAGAGCAGAACTACTTACCAGATAGTGTTTTTATTCTTTACAGGTATAAGATCTTTACTTTCAACCCATCTCACAATTAAACTGATTTTTAGACCCAATCTTTTTAAAATTACTTTACATCAGTAGTTTGCAGAAGGCAATAAAATTAGGCCAAGACAAGCTGAAATAATTCCACAGCACAATACTGTTTGCATTCCCACAGGATTAATGTACCTAGTAATCATCTGTGATCCACTGGTTACTTCTGTACAAAACTTCTCTAAGAAGCACTGTTGAGTGGTTTGTTTGGCATCAAAGTGAATTGATTTCAGTTGTGTGATGATTTTATGGTTTTGCTAAAAAACTGAAACAAACATAAAGATGCTGCTTAAGTACAGGAAATAAAAATCATCACATGATATTGAGGGGAAATGGAAAAAATTAATGACTGTAATTTGATTGAGTCTGGGAAAAGAACCTGTCTAAAAGATAATGGATTTAAAATCATGCAATGGAAATAACAGAATCATAGAGTAGTTTGGGTTGGAAGGGACCATAAAAGGTCATATATTCCAACCCCCCTGCAATAAACAGGGACATCTTCATCTAAGTTGGGTTGCCCAGAACCACATCCAGCCTGGCCTGAAATGTTTCCAGGGATGGCACATCTAATATTAGGATTCCGATGGAGGTTTTGCATTTTAATCAAAGCAGAGGGTTGATCCTATGAAAATACTGCTTTCTGGGAAATATGGTGTAAATTAAAGAAAATTCAAGTTGAAAAGTTGTTTATGTGTAATCCAGTTCCATGTATCCATTTATTTTAAAAGTGAAGTTTGCACTGTAATACTGGGAGAACTGGAAAATATTTTTCATATTCATTATCTCATCCTGTTTTCATACTTTTGTTACTATAAATAATTAAGTTACAAGATTCTATAATTATAGTTGCAGTGTTAGGAAAATTAAAGTCCTGATAAATAGAATATTAAAAAAAATAAGCAACTTTAGTCACATTATTCAGTATGCCTGATTCTCCTGTAGAACACTTATCAAATATAACATTTAATTTTTCAAAGTTAAAGCACTTGTTCATTCTTTTGTATGATTTTGGAAAAAGTTGACCCCTTGTGACACATGGGGAACTGCATATTGATAGAAAGAGGGAAAATTTACATAAAGAAATTTTTTTTACAGAAAAATTTACATAAAGTCATTTGAGAATAACTTGCTCCCACAACTCTGTCACCTGGGACCAGAGCTATAAAACTAGGACAGAATAATAACTGTCTTTATTAATTAGAAAGATATATGAAGATTCTTATTTTGGTGTTCTCATAGTATATTCTGTCTAGCAAGAATACAATTTTTTATCTAATACGAAAAAAACCTATAGCATAAAAATATGCATATCTCACCAAAAGACAGTATTAACTCATGTGGAATGGTCAAAAATATGCTTCCAAGAAAAATCAATACAACATAAAGATGACAAGGTTTAGTTTAAAATTGAAATAGTGGGTTTTCTTGATTAGGTTATATATATATATATATATATATATATATATATGCAGGAGTGGGTTCAGACACAATAATGATACTAGAAGAGGCAGGCAAATACCTGCTTTAAAGTCTCTGATTCATGAGGCCCTTTGACACATCCTTCTTGCAGGAGGAGAAATTACATGTGGACCTCTAAGTAAGAATCCAGCAAAGCAAATGCTCTCGTAATCTGCCTGGATTTGCTCACTTACAGCCAAAACCCCCACAGTTGCAGTATAGATGAGGCTAAGACTTCTGCTGAGGATGATGGAGTTTTCTGTCAGTCATCTCTGCCATAAGCTGTGCAATATTTGTAGTTATGCACTTGCTCCTTCGATAGCAGAAGTCTCATTGATTAAAGTGGATGTTTGATAAGAATTTCTTTGGTTGGTCCCAAGAAGCATACATCTGTATGCATCTGATTCCAGAACATGGAAAAGTCTCTGTTCTTCCTAAGCATCCTACTGAATAATGCAAATAATTGAATTATTATGCATTAATAAAAATGGCTTGATATTATCACTCCCTTCATTCTTTTAAGTTCCATTCATTGTAATTGTCCTATAATTCCAATGCAAGTTGATATTTGCTGCTGATAGCAGTTCTCTGTACTTTGTGCCTGATACTTAGTGATTTATTTTAGACATTTAAATAGTCTGAGCAGTTACTGAAATCTGTGACCTTATTTACCTTATCTTCTATTCAGTGCTACTGAACTAATTAGCAGTAGTGAGACTTAAGTCAACAAGGCTAATTTATAAGTTACTTTAAGGCTTTGTATCAGGTTGACAACCTAAAATTACGTTTACATTTACTTTCACTGAAGACCCATAATAATTTTTTTTCAGATAAAATGCAAATTAGGATGCCTGGATTTTAGTCCCATTACTGAGATGGAATTTTGCAGGTTTTTTGTCCATTGTATTTGCCAGTGAGCGAAAAAGCTTATACAAAAAATCTGGATTGATAAAACGATTTAAAAATTTGCCAAGAAAATAGTTTTAGTAATATTAGTCAAGAGTATCTTAAATAAAAATTATGGGGTTGGAGTTAAAAGGAGATTTTTATTCAAATAGTACTAAACTCAGATTATGTGCAGTAATACACACTTTCATTCAAAACTACAGTTAGAATTATACATGCTGCAGCATTAAGTCTGATCTCTGACTTTAGATAGATACGGAGGTAGCTAAAAAGTGAGATGGACTTCTGCATCATAGAATCATAGAATAGTTAGGGTTGGAAAGGACCTTAAGATCATCTAGTTCCAACCCCCTGCCATGGGCAGGGGCCCCTCACACTAGACCATGTCACCCAAGGCTCTGTCCAGCCTGGCCTTGAGCACTGCCAGGGATGGAGCATTCACAACTCCCCTGGGCAACCCATTCCAGTGCCTCACCATCGTATTACTGCAGCCTGTTTATGTTGGGCTTCTCTGCTTGCTTCTTTGAACTGCCTGAGTTCTGAAGGCTTGTTTAGGGGGCTGTTGTTTTTTGAATAAGCTGTGTACTGCAATTTCTTTTATATCACAGAAACCACACAAACGTCTCAGAGAGAAAGGCAATTCATGCAAAGCATTACTCAGATGTACATCCTTTCTCTATCACGATATATAGATATATATTTTTTTTGTACTCATATATGGATGAATGTATATTTATACATAGACAAATTTTAAAGTGATCATAAATTGATTTATATTTGTGCAGACATTTTGCACATTAAAAAAAGTGTGTTTTTAAATAGTATCAAAATCTCATATAAATGAGTGCTTCAGGCAGTAGCCTTTACACATGTGGATAAACAAGCACAAATATATGTGTTCTCAATACACAAGTTGTGTTATCATTAATAATATCCCCCTATTTACAGCTATACTTTCATGTGCTTCCTTTGTCTATATCTGTAAGATATATCATAGAATCATAGAATGGTGGAAATCAAAATCTATATGACATCTTTATCTGATGGGTTAAGAAAAGATTATGCTTTACTACTCCAGTACCTAGAAAACAGATTTAATGGTCTTTAATACTATTTTTTTTATTTTGCAGTTTAACAATAACGCTCAGAACGTCAGTTGTTTTAATCATCTTGTCCAAGCTAATGTGAGGAACAAGAAGAAGCTGAAAGAAGCTGTCTATAAAATCTCTGCTAAAGGAATCACTGATTACAAAAAAGGCTTTAGCTATGCATTTGAACAGCTGCTAAATGTAAGTATGAAAGCTGTCTCTTTCTGCTGTGAAGTGAAGGAGAACCTGAATGTTCAGATGGCCACTGCACTCTCCTCCATTGTTTAACTAAGTTTTATTTTCCAAGTAAATTTATTTCAAGACTATGTCTTTTTGTTTGCAGATCCCTCAGCAAGTTGCTAAGATTTGGGAATAAATTTGGTTTTCAGTGTGCATCATTGTTTTTGTTTCATTCATTTTTCATTAGTTTTTCATTTACCATGTGATTCTCAGCTGGCACATAGCTGTGGTAGTGGTTGATTTGCAGGTAATATTAAAAGGGAAGGCTCCATGTCACAGTGTTATTATTTCAATTTTACCATAGTATCTTCCAGCAATGCTTAATTAATGTACAGATTTATGCTTATTACAAGTCATAAATAGTTGACCATGGCTTGAGTAGGACAGAGGAGAGCAAATGAATTTGTTAATAGAGGAATATTAGGCCCCTGAGAGTATTCTAATAAATTTCTCTTTCTCATGTATAAAAAAAAATTTCCTTTAAAATTAAATGCATTATTTCCATGTTTTAATTACATTGTACTTTCTAATTTGCACCTAAGCACTAGCTTTCTGAGCAGCAGAAATGTTTCCAATTTACCACAAATGTTGGGGTTTTATTAGCATTTTGTAATACTTTATGTAGTTGCTTTAATAATGTTTTCCTACTGATCACCTTCATAAGGACTGCCTATTGGATCTTGTCTTTAGTGTCAACAAAGCTATACCAATTTACAGCACTTAAGGATCTAGTTTAAAAGTACATAAATTATGTTATTTTTATTTTACTTTTTTTTTTAAGTATCAGTGATGTCTCTCAGTGTACAAATGTTTAATTCTTTTCCCTGATCTGCTAGATTCTCGACTTCAGAGCACTTCCCTGCTATTGGATCTTAGGCTTCTATGTATATATTCATCTTAGGGCTAGAGCTGGTTTTAAAAAAATCCTAATCGAGTAAGATTTTGCTGGAGGAAAGTAAAATGCAATGTTTTCAAGGGTATTTTCTTAGTAGATTACTATGCACGTTATAGTAGAGGCGTTTGGTGGGGAAATCATTGGCTGCCCTCTGCTGATGGTTATATAAAACTGCAAAAAGAATGTTAAAGGCTGATGGACTTTTTCTGACTAGGTTTAAGAGCATTTCCCCCTTTTTTTACATCTTTTGCCATATTCTTCTTATAGTAATATTATCATCTTCTCCAGATATTGGCAAATCCATTTGGCAGGAAGAATAAAGGCTGATGATGGAGTTAGTGTTAGATTCTGGTGACAAGACAATACAACAGGATGATATAATACAGGCTTAAACAAATAATAAAAAAGTATGCTTTGAGATAGTTTCCAGTTGTATATTTTTGAATTCAAATGGTCCAATTGCTTTAAGGTCCATGGAAATGGAGTATTTCTTAACAGCTTAAATTTTGATGATAATTTTGTGGGTATTGTTTCTGGATGACAGTTATTTCAAACAATTTTCCCAAATAACAAAGTAATATTTCACTTCTGCCATGGGAAAAATACTGTCTGTTGTGTTGCTAGATGGAAATAGACACTTCAGTTTTTTTCAACATACTAATTCAAGCAGTTATCAGTATTCTAGATTCCATCATTTTTATGCACTATTTTCCCATTATTGTTATATTGACTTGCTGGTTCTTTGAAAATAATAATATTTCAGCTTCCGCAATTCAAGATTTTTTTTCCTCCATACCATAATAACTACGATTTGTCAAAAAATTATCTCAAAATCATCTCTGCTTGTGTAGTTGATTTTTGATTTTGTTTACCCTTCCTTCCTCAGCGCATGAGGCTCATCATGAGAAAAATACATTCCTAAAGTCTCATGCCATGAAGTATAATCCTGACAAGCCACTGAATGAGTTAATTTTAGGGATGTGAAACTTCTCTAAACCAAAAGCAGTTTTAGGAACAGTACAAAATGTATAATGTCTTGTTTGTTTGGGGAATCAAAACAAAAGGCCTTTATCAAGTGCAAGAGAGGGCTAAAAAGGAATACACAGACTTAGTTCCAACTTGTCTTTTTTTCTGTGGTTTCAGCTAAAAAGCCAGGTTTTTTTTTCCAGGTAAGCTGCTTTATGAGCAACACATTGCTCTTCAGCTATGGTCTGTGATGGGAAGCAAAGCTATCCGTTGGACTGCTGAGGCAAACTATTCAGAAAAATCATGAAATTAGTCCATCAACTTTGCCAAATCACTTATAATCGCTCCCTGAGCCTGTATCTCTCCATCTTTGTACAACTGGCAGGGAGCATGCAGGAAAGATGTGTTGTAATGGCAATTCTGCATTCCTTTTGATCCCTTGTAAGAGACTGATACATTAAGTTCATTCATGGGGATGCAAAGATTTAAGGGGGGGAAAATATATGATTTGAGCTTATTCATATTCAGATTTCCAATATTGTTTGGAGGCTAAGCCTCTGGATTTTATATTACATGACTTTAGTGTCTAAGCTTGACTTTAGTATAGTGTACGTAAATGCCCTTCTGTAAGTACTAGCAGATGAGAAAACTGCCTTTTTCTGATACTGTATAAGCATATGCTAAGTAAGCCACTAGAAAAATCCCGATTGAGATCTTTTAAGAAGAATACTAGCTGAAGTTCACATTGCCCATAATTTCAATTTCAAAATCAGTAGGAAAGTTTTATAAAATGAGCAGGCTTTGGTCCCCTTCCTTGTCATCTCTTTAGTTTCCCCCGACTTTATTTTCGCCTGTATATTAAATTACTGTAAATGTAGGTGAGTTTATGAAGTATCTAGCTCTACTTTTATTACCTTTTTTTTTTAATATTGAAAAGACTGCAGGCTGAAACAGAATTTTGTAGGTTATATTTTTACAAGGAAAAAATGGTCATAAATTACTTAATTACAAACGAAACACAGTGTGCTGATGAGATTGGAGAGAATGTGTTGATTTCAAGCATCTTTCTATGAGTTGCTGCATGTAAGAAAATCTTTGGACTTGTTCTTTTCAAATTAATAAATAAGTAGTTATTTACTGAATATTGAACTACTAATACAAATCACACTGTGAGGAATAATTATTCATATATCAATAATGATGGCAAATACATTTTTTGCAGTTCAGTTTTCTGGGATCATTGTAGAACCATGGAGATACAGTATTTAGGAATATTGGCTAATGTCTGAAGTCTGGCTTTGGTGTTTTGGTTTCTTTATTAAAGAAGAACAAGGAATCAGATCAGAGAGTAGGATGAAAAGTGGCTAATGGGAGTGGCATCATCTCACCTGACCAGCCAGGTGAAAAGTTAGTCACTGTCTAGCCACAAAGACTAAAGCAGGGGGGAACTGGGCACTTTGTAAGGATGACTCTCCTATTTATTTTCCCGAGTCTGTAGTAAATTCATATAGCCAAATTCAGGCTTGTGGAAAGGGAATTAGAATTAATTTTACTGAAACTCTAAAGATTTTACTCTGTCACATCTAACTACTCAGAAGTACTGAGATCTGGCTGACTAGGGCCGTTTGTATGCAACACAGAGGACAAGGAATGTTTGCTGTAAAAATTAATGAACAATTTGCTTAGACTAGATTCTTAACTTTTAAGGGATAGGGGAAGAAGACAAATGCCAAAAGAGAAGCCTTTGGGACTCTTCATAAGGAGACAAAATTCATATTCATCTTTATGATGTTTTGGCTGTGGAACAATCTTTTTATTCCTTTGCACAACACACTGAATTTTTCTCTGTGTCTTTGCTTGTTACTTTGACTGCTGACTTAGGAATTAGAGGGGCTTCTTCTCAACTCTCTGTTCCAGGCTTGCTCTCCAGAAACAATGGAACATGCTTAGTTTTTCACCTCAGAGTTGCAATCTCATTAGAAAAGCAGTGGTGCAGAGATCGTAATAATTTAGGCAGCCGTATGTTAGGTGCATATTTTGTAAATGTGATTCTAAGATTCTTTCCTAAATGTTATTCATTTCAATGTGTTAATATACATTGATCACAGTTCACCGCATTTTTCATATATATATAATATACATAAACAAACAAAACCGGGAAAGAATTAAATAAGTGAAAGATGGAGCTTATTTTAAGGAAATGTGACAAAAATAGCAAATTCAAAAAAAAAATTCTAATTTTATCAGGTAGAGTTTTTAGATGTCCCTATAGGATTCCTAAATAATCAGACTTTTCAATTACATGGTCAGTGAGGTTGATAGATTCTGTGAGCAGGAATCCAGCATCCAAAAAGCCCATATTCAGTAATTCATTAGAAGGTCATTGTTCCATAATTTCTACAAGGACATTAAGAAAAAGAAAAAAAGTAAGGATGAGAAAACAGAAGAGTAAAAATGTTTAGATACCCTCACTGTACAAGTCTTGCGCAGAACATCTTTAGAGAAATGCTGTGGGGGGTGTTGATGTGATGGGTATGAGCTAAAAAGCTTTCCTTGTGTTGGTTGAAGTGAGAGGAACCTCCAGACTCACATTCTTCTGTGTTGGGCCAAGTCTGAAATGAGTCATATTTAACTCTTATTAAACAGAAAAATGGTTTTGTTTGGGGTTTATTTTATTTTTCATTCAGAAGAGGGGGTATTGAATGAAATCCTAAGACTTTGGAAGTTTTGCCATTACCATGTTAAAGTAGTAAGCATGTTGATCTGAAAGCCATCAAACATAACAGTTGTTATACCTTATGGCCTGAAATAACGCCCCCTTCTGTTTCTGTCTCCTGCAGCACAGCGTCTCTAGAGCTAACTGCAATAAGATTATTATGTTGTTTACGGATGGTGGTGAAGAAAGAGCACAGGAAATTTTCCATAAATACAATGAAGACAAAAAAGTAAGTGCTCTATGAAAGATTTTAGTATATAAAATACAACAGCACGAATAGGAACATTTAAATATGGAAGTGAAAGCATTTTTTGGTATATGTATAAAGTACTTTTTAAAATGCACTTGTATTGAACCTTAGGGTACTTAAAGCTTTCTCTGTCTATAATATCTCTTAAAAAAACCATAAAAGACATTTAATATTTTACCCCTTGTGACTCACTGGTATCAGGCAGTACAGAAGCATACCATAAGCCATGAAGTATTGAACTTTTTATTGGCAGGTTTTTTGTATTAGTGTAATCAAGAGGGAGCACAGGTAATTAAATAATAGGAGATATAGCTTTATCTCCTTACTTTGAATATTTTCTATACGATTTTGTTGTTCATCAGGAAATGACAAAACCAAATCTCAAGGTTAGAATCTAAATCTTAACAGATTTGGGCTGAAACAAACCCACGTTTTTCTCAGTGAGGCTAATCGTATCTTTGGCTATCTTAGGTAGGAGTAGGATGGCTTTTGATTGATGAAATTTGACCTGTGGTTCAACCAGAATTATGGGTTTGACACAAGAATCACTGGATGGCTTGTGTTGTTCAGATTAGATTGGATTATTAGCTATGCTGGTTTGGGGTTTAAGTTTTGAATCTAATCAAACTTCTGGTCTGGCTTTGATGTAAAAATGCATGAGTGTGTGTGTGAAGGAAAACGGCTTTGTGAACTGTCTCCTGCTACATCTCAGTAGAAATCTTTATATTTAGAAGATTAATCACTTTAGAAATTAAATATGAGCTGGATTCACCGTACAACCAAGAACCTACCTTTTCTAGTGTTTGGGGTTGTGCCTGTACCTGTTTTTTTCCTGGGGTTTTGTTCATTTGTTTCAATTTGTTTTCAAAAAAAAAGCAGCCAGAAGTAAGATTACAGTTCGCCAAGACACTTTACCAGTTGCCATGGATGCTTACGTATGAAGAAGTGGAAGTACGCCGTTGGAATTCCCATATATTTAAATTAATCCCTTCAAAAAGAGAACTAGAAACACAACACAGAATTTGCATCTCAACCAGTGATTCACTCAGGGACCTTCAGTAATCAATTTGTCTCTGTTTTATAATAGTGTTTCATATAGAATGATATGGTGGGGTTTAGGTAATCTTTGTATCTGAGATGAAAGTACTTTTTAAACTGACAATTAGAAGGAAGGACTGAAATCATAGCAATTTGTCACACATTCCTGTATTCTGAAAACATACACAGAGCTTCCTCTTCAAATCTGGTTTTGGTAGCTTTTATTGTGTTACAATAAAAGCCATCATCTAAAGGAAAACATGCATAAGGGGGGAAATGTATGACTGATTTCTTATTATTTTCCATTTAATTTGCTGTGTTAGGAAGAAAGTATAGGAAGATGTCCAGTCCAAACAGATTTACAGTGCTGAGATTTGTGGTCTTACTCACATCATATGTGACGATTGATTATTCTGTGGAGTATAATGGATGAAATGTAGGATTTACTAATTAAAATGGTTATTCTACTGCATCCTTTAATACTTTAAATTTGTACTGCCAAGGGATGGACTGGTTTTGTATATACTGTTATATATATTACAGTACAAGCTCATTTTCTTGTTCCCTCTAGTGAATGCGGCTTTTGGGGTTTTTATTGTATACAACAGAGTTAAGATGTTGATGATAGTCACTGTAAGGATTTCTGAATATTGAAGTATATACTTAATTGCAGTTCGCATGCAATGCAAGGCAGATTTCTTACACTTGATTAAGTTCAATATACCTACGAGTTCAAGTTCTTAGTAAGCACTTAAATCTTGTTACTTACCTAATAAAGCAGTGGGTTGCTAGATACTATCCTTTACTGTTTTTCTCCAAGGTGACATTGAAAATACAAGAAATACTAACAGGGTTTTTGCAGATATAATTTGAACAACCATTTGCTTTCTCCTTAAAGTTTTCAATCAGTAACAATTCTTGTGGTGCTGAAGGGAAACTTATGGTTGAAAAACTTCTAATGAGATTGAGCCAGTAAATTCATTTTTAACATTTAGAATGAACCCCCCGATAATCTTTCATAGGATTTTAATATTTTTAAAAAGCAGACTACTTCAAAATATGCTTGTGGCCATGCTCTCGTTAGTAAAACTACAGCTGATTCCAGAATGAAGATATGTGAGCTCTCTTGTCGTTCCCTCTCTGTGTAATTTAATGTTCCTGTGCAGCATCATAACATAACTGACAGACACATTCTTAACATGAAAAATACACATATACTTTCAATTTTTTTAAAGTCATTGTCACAAACATAGTGTTACCTTCTTTTAGATTGCATAGTAGTCTGCTTTCATCTGATAAATGATTTAAAGCTATGTGGATTTAGATTCTGTTGTCTTTATTGCAGTTAATTTATATTTTGTTTCACAAGTAGTCCATTTAATGTAAGACCACGTTTATAATTATAATCTGTAAAGAGACTATTCAATATGAGCAAGATATTAAAAATTTGCCCATGTATTACTGTAGTAGCACTTCATAGTATAAATATGAATCAGCTGATGTCTTTTCTTGCCTGCTCTGCATTTGTCTTTCTGCTATGCGTACAGTATATAAAGATGGATATTTATTGTCTTATACCACAGTCAGTTACTTCCCATCTTTGGTACGCAGTGTCATAAACTTACTTTCTTCTCATACAAACTAAAGACCATTCATTCAAATCTATTAATCCTTGTTTTCATCTTCCTGATGTAAAATTTCTTCAGCTCTAAAAGTATATTCATCTTCTGTCAGTTACTTTGTAGGTCCTTGGTTCCAAAGAAGCCTCAATGAGTTTTGGCCCATTAGATGACAAGGATACTAAGATACTTGTTTGCAGTGCCCTTAGTGCAACCTTCAAGTTAAGAAGTGAAAGAAAACAATAAACAATTGGAAACTACTAAAAAAGAAGCCTAGAATCGAGGTGCTGGGAAATTCTCCCATTAAATTAGAGAGTTTAATCGGTTTGAAATAGCACATAAATATATTAAAAATAATGTTCTGTCTTTACAAATCATTTACACTATGAATATGAGAGTTATTGCAAAACTTACATTTTGAGGAGGAACATTCCTAGTTTTCATCTGTTTGAAGTGGAAAATCACAGTTATGTTTCACCTTTGCATGTCTTTTCCTCTTTATAAAGCCAGATTTTATTGTCACAGATTGTCACAGATTGCAGCTGCATGCTGCACCTGATATTTAGCAACTGGCATGTTTACCTTTGCGGCGACATTTGGGGTGCTCACATTAAATGTCTGAAATACCACACATGCACTAAATTTCAGGAATGGGGGTGGTACACTTTAGTTTTATTTGCACTCATGCTGCAGATGGCCCCACGGAAGACAGCAATATTAATTTAATTGGAATGGAGGCCCAGCAGGAGTTCTCAATCCTGAGAATTTTGAATTCAGGTTGAAAATAAATGACTACTACAGCTCATTGGGGCAAATTGTGAACCCTGTGTTTTAAAGGATTGCTCTACTTAGGGGAGTAGGAAGAGACCTTAAATATATCTCATGCACTTTCAGTTTGAAGTTTCCTAGCACAGTACAGATTTGTGGGGGTCAGACCAACAGATGCAGGATTAATCCAACCCTCCACATAACAGGAGAACCATAAGTTGGGTCTCACGTCTCATTCTCATATGATTAATGCAACCTCCTTTTGTGTAGATTTTTCTAACTGTATCATTTGAGAGGAAATGGCATGCAGTGAAGTTTTCCAACAACTGATTTCCATTTAAAATATCTGTGTATGTGATGGGTACCAAAATGCTACAGTGATAGAGGTCCTATGGGAGGAGGCTCCAGGTTGCTGCAACTCCACTGGGAAACTTATGATTGGCAGTGACTTCTTCCTAATGGGACACATTCAGCATGTGAATAGAATGATAAAAGGAAATATTTATGAGAAAGCACTTGCAAAACTTTCTTCTAAAACGCAAATGTCACCTACTGTCATTGCCAAAGGAGGGAACCAGTTTCTTCATTGGTTTGAATCCATTACTGCACAACTGCAAGCCAAAACTCTGTGTTAATCTAGGCAATGATATACGCATCATTCCAGACAAGGCTGAAAGTGCTAGTCCTGACTACAAATAACTACTGTCAAAGCCCATAATATTTCCACTTGGGGTAACTATGGGATTCTCACCAGGTGTCAGACTAAATTAATGTAACTTTCTAGGGTTGCTTATAGAGCCAAAAATAGAAACAGCATCTTTCTCAACACTAGTGACAGAGCTTAACATCTATCAAAGTGAACCCTAACAGTTCTTGTATTTCTGAGTTTGTGATAGGCTTGTGACACAGGATATAAAATAAAGTAATTAAATTAAGGGTTGAACCCAGCAAAATTCTGGTTTATATCTGACTGACATGTAGCATAGTTTGATAGATAAAATTTAAGCTTTTTTTTCTTAAGCTTTCTGGATTATAGATTGTTTTCTGGCCTTCTCTACACTGCATCAGCCTTCTGTGATCTTTAGACAACCAAATGCTAAGATATGTCTCATTCCCCCTGATAGTCCCTTGTGCTGCGAATTTTCTTGGAGTGATGGTACAGGAAATCCCATGGAGAAGAATTCTCCAGCTAGCTGGTTAAACTGGCTCCATGGCTCCTTCCCTAATCAAATCTGTTTTAAGACTGTGTCATCTTCCAGCTATTAATTTCAATTTATTGTATATATTGTGACATGCACAACTGGTGAAGCTAAAATATTCTAAGTGAAACCTGAGTCAGTATTTATAAATTTCACAATCCATTCCCTGGTTTGTTCTTTATTTCAAAGTAAAACTGGAAACCGTGTTATTAGAGTGCTCACTGAAGAAATCTCTTATTCTTAAGGCAAATTATATATTTTTTCACCTCTTCCTTAGCTCTACTTATTAATGAAGGACTTGCAATATATCCACTGTCTCAGCTTCTGTGTTCCTAACATAGATTAATGCTACTAC